GTGACTCATTTGGATGTCTACGATCCCGGAAGGCTTGAGTCTCAAACAACCTTAACATCTTCTGGTCCCAAACTACTCCCAAAAACTCCTCCTTTATTGCTTGTAGGAAAGTGAAGCAATTACTGCTCAAGCGCTGTTGTTCCTCCGGAGTCAAACGAGTAAACCATCCAGCAACTTCTGAGTCAGCCGGAAAACATTTCCACATCCAAAACCCAATTGCTTCAGGCAAAAATCCTCGTTTCCCGGCCAGAGTAATGATCTCCCACATCCAAACCATCGCACTTTCATCGTCTTCTCCGCTCCATTTTGGCAGATCATCAGCTTTCAACTTAACTTCCATGGTGGGTACGTAGTTTCCATATACGGCTAAATGTTGAAAATTATTAGCACCCCCACCATTACCGTTACCGCCACCACCTCCACCTGGTGGTCCTGGTGGTCCTGGTGGGCCGCCGCCGCCATCTAGTCCTCGATGACCTCTCAAACCTCTTTCTCCCCTTTCTCCCTGTGGACCTTGAGGACCTCTTGGACCCTGAGGGCCTGGAGGGCCTGGTGGACCACCGCCTGGGTTACCGCCTCCGCCATTTCCTCCGCCACCGAAGATTGGGTGAGCAGTATTGCTATTTCCGCTCGACGAAGAAGATGAAGAAGATTCAGGCTGTCCTGGTCCTGCTCCGAGGCCTCCAATTCCTGCCATTGTATTCCTTGAACCGCTGGCTACTGCCGCCACAGATCCTAAACTGGGTGCTATGCTTTCCACTGTTTCACCAGATGACGATGACGGTTCCACCGGTGGAGAACGATGCACTCTCGCTTCAGTATTCACAAATTGGAGAAGATTACCTTCTCCTTCCGAAGCAACGCTGCCCGCTTTAGAGTGAGGTAAAGGAATTCCTTCCGCTATCATTCCAAAAGCGCTTCGCATCGATCCCATGAAAGCACTAGAATCCGTCTCTAACCTTCTTGGCGTTGACGAAGCTGGTGGTAAGCCTGACAAGCTCTCGAATCCTTTGGGGCCTCTCGGTTTCAAATGAGGTGCGTCCTGTCTTTCCAACTCCTCGTATTGCTGTACTCGATTTCGCACCGTGGCCTGACTAGATGTATTCCTCCAGTCACTATCATCTAGACTTCGACCACCAAATAAAGCTGAGCTACGACGCTCCCTTTCTGGATTAGACGTTGTTGAACGAAAAATCGGAGCCGTAGACTCCTTCGCTTCCTTCTGTTTGTCTTTGAACCCTAAAAATCCAGTCAGAGACTCTCTTTTCCCTGCTGTCGCCGGATTCAACATTCCCAATCCTGGAGGTACCTGAGCCTCGGTAGTTGATTCTTCCTCTCTGTTCGGTAAAGGCCCTTGACTCCGAGTGCGCTCAGGCCACGTCTCTCGATGACTCTCCAAATCTCTCTGTTGAATGAGCTCCGGATATAATGCATTGAAATTTCGAGTCTGATTGTATCGACTCCAATCCCCCATCCAGGCATGGTGCGGGACCGCCTTCAGAACATATTCCAGACGACTTGCCTCTGCGGGAACATCTTCTAGCGCGGCCCAGATAGAACCTGCGGTCGACACTGGGGACGTTGGAGCTACTCCCGTACGATATTCCTCCCTGTATTTTTGAAGAAAACGCACCGCGAGTCTCAACCGTTGATATAAAGCCATCCACGTCGCCGCTAATGCGTCCAGTTGATCGGTCCCTCGCAAAATGTCCATAAACATTCCATCTGGGTCCAGACGGAAAACTCTATTTCCTCGCGAAGGTACAAGTCCCGCTGCTCGTACTAAAACCTGTTGCAAATCCTCTATCAGACTTGTCACGGCTCTCATAGGCCCCGGTCGCAACTGGTATCTTCGCATTCCTCTTTCCCTTCTCTCACCGTGATCCAAAATCCTGTCAGCTCCGATGTTCTCGCTGTCGACGTATCGAACCCGCGCGGACAAAGGCGGAAATTGGTCGTCCATCTCGTGTTCGAATCGCCACCAAAGCTGTTCCATGGGGTCCCTGTTTGAAGGTCCTTCTTCTCCCTCGTCACGCTCTAACACAACTCTTGTCTCTTCTAAGACTGTCGTCGCCATTTTCTCGGTGTCAACCGTCTCCCCGAGAAAGATTCCTGTACTCGGGTCCGATTTACGCGGTTCCCGACGATGAGCTGGCACCGAATTCGTCTGGTCCCTAGGAAGGTGAGCGGTCTCGGCTTGAAGCTGGAATTGTTGATAATTGAAAATTGCTGGGAAAAAGGGAGCCGACCAAAATGGTCGCTTGTTTTGTAGAAAATGCGGTTGTCCTTGAGCTCAAGGTCGTTCGAGCTCAATCCTTGATCTCCTTCGGTTGGAAAGATGTCCACTGAGAAATTTCCCAATGTGTCCACCAATGTAAAGGCTTGTCCGTAAGGGCGGCCTGAACGATAATTCTGATTGCGGGTTTCTTGTGGTTTTCCAACGAAAGGCGATAATCTAAATAGATTCTTGTCAGTAGCTAGAATCTAATCTCACCTAATTCCTCGAGAATATCCTTGCCGGCGAGCGTGCAGCGCGAGGTGCAACGGAAAGCGCTTAGGTCGAGGTATTCGGGTGAAAGTTTGGTGTAAAGATTGATTGATTCATGTGACCTAATCTAATCTGTACAAGTCCGATTAAATAAAATACAAAGGCCACTGTTGAAGGCCTATGGACTTGTAGTCCTATGAATTCTAGACGGCGGTCGTTAGGGACCGCTTAAGATGAAGTAAATGATAGCATATATGAGTCGAGAGATGTGTTACACAACTCCAAACAAGGTCACATAGTCTTGGATCTCTGGGATCGTGAGGGGACGAAGGGGACCAGGATCGTCACCGTCAAGGTGTATGTCTGATGCCGACACGTATGAGAAGCCCCCTTTCTTCAGCTCGTTGTACAGAGCCGTCCTTCCTAGAGCTTGAAGCTGCAGATAGATGAATGAGCCGCTGGCGTGAACCGCGCTGGTTACCTATGACAAAATGAGTTGTTGAAATGGAACAGAAAATATTGAACAGACCTTTTCCATGCACTTATTTATTCGTCAGACCAGATGCCAGGAACATTGGCATAACCACCAGCTCGAGGCGCTATAAATGTCGCCTCTGCGATGAGAAGAGTTCCCGGAACCTTTTAATGCTGGCTGTAATACTCTGCAACATGAGGCAGAAGAACATGGCCGTCGCTGGCGCGATATCTGGTCGATGGCGCGAAAACGACACGATTCTTCAACGACGACCTCGGACCTCCCGACTTGTATTGGCTGGAAGAGTTTCGGGGTCGACATGATTGAGATTGATAACAGGTAGTGTAGAAGCTGCTTGAGAGCGACTTTCAAGTGAGTTAATTCTACAGTTTGACCAGCTTTTAAGCCTTTTTTTGTAACCACGGATAAAAGGTGTTCGCGACGATGACTCAATGGATGAGTCAAGTCTGACTGAGCAGGTTAAGGATTTTACGAACATGTCGCCATTGATTACGGCCTCGAACGATGAGTTCCAAGGCCATTGTGACAGTAGAACGAGCAGAACGGTGAATTGTGCAGGATCGATGAATAATTGCATCTATTCTTATACCAAACTTGTGCGATATGAGCTTAGCTGTACGGAGATCGGCCCAGGAGCTTGGACTCTTTGTTGCAGTGATAATCTAGGTCTCCAAAGCTCTAGATGGATCCTGCAACGGTGCCCGCTGGATGCCCTCAAAGGCAATGGATCTTTGTCTCGTCTGGCCAGTAGCGATTCCAAAGGAATCAAAAGGAATCAAATGCGCAATCCAAGTTCCAAATTTTATCTCATATCTATTTACAAAGCTCGTATGTCTAATGAGGTCTATGACCCCGACATTCATGCGCCACTCCGATGTACTTGTGTGGCGCTCGGGATACTTCAATGATCTTCAAGTCTCAACCTTGTTTTCAGGGCAAGCTGAAAACTCTCAGATATTACGCATAAGAGGTCGGTGAATTCTGCCGGATTGATGAGTAATTGGATCTATTCTTACACCAAACTTGTGTGTGATATGAGCTCAGCTGTATGGAGCTTAATCCAGGTAGCTCGGACTCCTCGTTGCGGCGAGAATATAAATCTCTTAAGCTCTAATTCGCATGATATAATAGGTTTAGGTAGCTACTGCCACGGTGCCCAATGGATGTGCATGTTTGTCTCGTTTAGTAGCCTCTACGAAGGAATCAAATGCGCATCCCAATTGCCAAAGATTATCTCATATCGATGTACAAGGTCATATGTCTAACGAGATCTACGACCCCGACATCCATGCGTCACTCCACTGTACTTTGTGTGGCGCACGGGATACCTCAATGATCTTTAAATCTCAACCTTGGTTACAAGGAAAGCTTATGACCCCCCGGTAGTACGCATCGGCAGTTACAATATCGGCCAATATTATTTGAAATTGATCAACTAGAAATTAGAGTTGAAGATTGGGATATTCGAACGCCACAGATTCTTCTGTTCGCCCCATTTCTTACTCCGACGGTTTAACCAATATGTGGGCAGCATTGAGGGCAAGCAAAACAAAAGGGTTAATAACCAAACGACAGAGAGATCAAGTGAAAGGACCAGGACCAGGACCTACCAAGTACACGGATTCAAGGACAGCGGCGGCGCGGTTCTGGTATAGACAACTGATTGATCAAGAAAGCTCCGAGGTGATTGCACTGGACCTCATTATCAACAGGATCATTAGTCTCCCAAGTCTTCCTCTAGTATTAGCAGAAGAAATGTCGTTCTATCAATATAGACAGGATCGTAGCGACGATACGAACGGCAGTGCAATGTGGATGAATTGAAACTTCATGTTAAGGACTTGGAGGTGATGAGAGGTGATGAGGAGTTGATATCGAGGCATTGCTATACAAGAAATCAAAGAAGAGATCGGGTAAGTTGATAGTCACATAATGCAAAGTTTGACTGATTTCAATTGGGTTGCTGTGCCAGCACCTGACGTAATATATAATGGAATACCTACTATCATAGTCCAGGCGTGAGTGGTGTAACGGTAACATGTGGTCTTCCCATTTGAAGGTCTTCGCATTCATTTGGCTACGCCCCGGGTTCGACTCCCGGCTCACGCACTTGAGTTCGGCAAGAATCTTCCTTTTTTCCTGTAGGTTCGAGCAATCAATGACAATCCGTCTCAGTAGGTGACGCTGCTTGTTCCAAGTCATTGATCACCCTACAAATTTAAGTGAACAGAACATACTCTGAATATGAAGTTACCGCCAGAGTCCTAGCCTGCGAAAACCGAAGACGCCGATCGAAGACGCTAGCATGGATGACGAGTCATTTAGTACCGCTCGATGAATCCATCCACCAAACAGCCTTGCCAGAGACCAAGAGTCAGGACACTCAATGGAAGCTTGGAATTCTGATGTTGTCTGGAGGGCCAAAAATCCTCTCATAAATGCAATCGTTGGAGTCGAAAAAGTCTTAGCAAGTGGCGTATGAATGTACTCATGGTCCTGCGTCGTCTTGGTTGGGCACCCGGCTTCCGTGTTTCCAGGATCATCCATGATTCGGGGTGACCGGAATTGGGACGTTCTCTTGAATACTAACCATTGCAAAATGACACGAGTGAGTAATCATAAACTATCGATTGAAGGGATATTATACCCGTAAAAAGACTCTAGAGCATTCTGCTATACGACGGTAAAGCCTCTTCATTCGCGTCACCCAAAGAACCAAAAGCTCCCTCGACTCTCCATCCCCACTCGTTGCCCTCGGGCCACCTGAATAGATCCGCACCAAAGTTGACCTCTAAAGAAGCCTTTCCATCGATCCCAATAGCCGCAAAGACATCGTGACGAAAGCGAGGAAGATATGTGCCAGTAAACGCATCAGGTAATCGCGAGCCATTCAGCGTGAAGAAAATGGTCCCAGAATTGTAAATGAAGCCAACACCGACCGTATCGCCATTTTGTAGCTTTACATTCGGCAAATAATCCTTTCCGCCATCTCCGTCTTCAAAGAATTTGCGCATGTCGTCGAGATGCAATCCAGCACTGAGACGGTTCCATCCTGGAAGCCGCCACGATGGATATGGACGACAAGCGGTGCCTAATGTTTTTCGTCAGCTGCTATAAGCCTATTTGACGTGTCCAGCTTACCAACTGCGACTGTACCCCGCATTTCGAGAACCTTAACCTCGTAATATACACCTAATTTGCTTACTGGCAATGCGTACATTCCTGCAACGAGCGGCAGAGTGCTCAGAAGACAGGTATCGGTTGTCGAAGAATCTGTGTTTATCGTCACGATTCCTCGTGTCTTTGTGCCGTAGATTGGATTCTGTATCGCGCCCTGGAAACCTCCAGTGTTGTGCTTGCCAAGTCTATACCACGGATTCGGATTGTACTCGAAGGTTTCCTGGGTTTGAGGTCCTTCGACACCCCAGGCCCAAGCGCCTTCGTCTTTCACTTTGTCTAACAAGGCAGATGCGAACAGACGTGGAGCGTCTGGTGGGAATTGATCACAAAATGTGATAGAGGAATCGTAAGATGAGACTGGTGCTTCTGCTTTGAGGCCAAAGGTGTGCTAATCGATGCGCCACATGGATCCAAGGGAGGAATAGACATGTTTTCATTGAGTCCGATTAGATATAACATTATATGAGGACTCACACTCTTCTCAGGTGCCGCACTCCATCCTGGTGGCGCTTCTGAATAGCTCTGGGCAGAGCTTGAGGAGCTTTGCTCCTTATCCTCGTCACGCAGAGAGCGAAATAAGCTAAACATATTCTTAGACTGAGTAGAGGATTAAGTCGACGATGGAGAAATTCGTGTAGCGACGGTCGTGGTGGTTTGAGAAGAAGAGTTGAACAGCTATTCCGGATAAGATTAGATATCTCGCGGACTTTGAAACCTAGACACGTGCCACCAAGGATGGCGCTAACATTTATTTCGTTGAAAATTCCACTGCGAGTGTCATAAAAACCACTATTTACACATTGGATAATAGACGCTCGGAGAAAGGTATCGCCTTGATGTCTTGAGGTGTCCGAAAACACGGGCGGAGAGAAGTTTTGAAACAGAGGTTGACCGTTGCATCTTGTAGCCTGGATTCTCGTACAGTCCGCAGTTTCTATGAACCCGACACGTATCGCCCATTCCATTGTTTCCATCCTAGTCTGCCGTTCGTTTATATATCATCGAAAGAACTGTTGCTTGATTTCCTAAACGTGCATCCTGTGCTGACGTGATCCAAGAAACACACCCTCATCAGCATCGAAATACGGAAAATGAACCAATTGAACAACCAAATCGTCGTCCAAACCACTTCTGGACGGGCATATCGAATTCAGAACAACGGGAACAATCTTGGAGCTGTTCTGCAAGAGCCTGGTGGACTCGCAATCGAGCTCGTAGGGTTGGGAAATGTGAAGGTTGTGGCTGGAATGACGAGGAAGATGGTTTATTGGGGCCATACCGAGCAGGTTGAAATCGGTTCGGCTCTGATTGAGCTTTTCAAGGGAAACAGGTGAGCCAAGTCCGTGTTGCGCCAGAAGTGAGCTCACCATCGAGCTAGACGCGCCTTCACCCTCGAGAGCTTGACCTACGAATGGACTGTTCAAGGTTCTATTGTTCATTTGCAGAGATCTGAGGTGCGTTGGTGTCGTTGAATGATATCAAGGAAGACCAGTTGACGATTTCATGTAGGGTGGTCCAGCTGCCGCAGTCATCACCAGAGGCCAAGGCTTCACCAGCGCCGTCAATAGCGATCAAGGCATGGTTCACTGGACCTGTGTCGTTATCGCCGCTGTATTGGAGGCATCGGGGTGGCTTGGCCTCTAAGCGCCCTGGGTGGAAAGGCGTCGAAGCCCAAGGAGGATGGAAATGTGATGTAATTGGAGATGAATATATCGGTTGAACCTGCTACGTTGTCATAAGCCTCACTCTTTCTCTCGAATGAAATGCGTTGAACAAATTCTGAAGCGAACGAAGCAACTCACCCAATGTCAGAACCTCCCAGTCTGCAAATCATCCGACAACAGCACCTTCTACGCCTTCAGGAAACCAACGGTGATTTGGAAGACCTAAACGCGAGGGCCAACGTCTGATAAAGGACCAAAGTACCAGCCAACCTGCAGCAGCAAAATTCACGGACTCCTAGCTGTGTAAAGCAAATGCTCTGGCGACTGTCCTCGGGTATTTCAAAGAGACGATGGTCATTGGACGAGTGAGACATGCAGTCAAATCCCTCGTTCGACGACGGTACAAATCCGACGACCTGGCGAAAGGTCCCGACGCCCTGGAAAAAGGTCGCAACAACCTGCTAGAAGAAAGGTAAGCCATAGCAAAGGAGAATTTTACGGACTTGCCATTGATTCTATAAAATTGAGTGACTACCGAGGATCGTCATCCGTATGGTCGGTGCTGGTGTTGAAATTTAAGACAAGGAAAACGGCTGGAGCTCTGTCGTATAGCCACCAAGAGGCTACATGGACGAGACATGATTCGAAGACGACGTTCGCGACCCTACGCTTCTCTTGAAAGAAAGTCGGTCTATCCTGTTGAATGTGAGTCAGATCCCGAAAGCAAAAATTCTTCTGCAGACTTACTGGATTTGCGCTTTCGATGAAGAAGGACCAGTACGGCTGACCGACCCTACTCGCGGATACACTGGATATAAAGCCGTGACATCTTCGAGGTCATTAGGCTCATCTTTAGGCCAGGAAGGTGGGCGGCAACAGATGAATTGGGCGAGATCAGAGGAATTCGTAGCAGAGAGCTGGAAGTAGCTGAGAGCGGCCAGTACAGATTGATTCAGGGAATTTGGGTTCCCCCGTGGGAGCAGACCATGGCAGGATTAAGGGCGACGGCTCGTCATGTTGGTTGGAAAGAAAGGTTCGGCGTTCAATCTTTTGGCCGACGAGAGGTGGACCTACTGTGACCAATGTTCCGGCCATCAAAAAGGTAACCGTCTACCGGCGTCTGCAGGCTGAAGCACTGGTAGTGTATCGCTGGGAATCCACAATTCAGGGCATTGGTTCGGGCATTCTGCGTCGTATTTTCTGTCTCGTAGTAGGATTGCTATGTGCCAGGTTCCTAAATCAATTTGATTGGATACAGGCTCCCTACGCCAGGAAGGTGGGCGAGATCGGAGGAATCCGTAGCAAAGAGCTGGAAGAAGCTGGGGAGAGGCCATTACAAGTTTTCAGGGAATTTAGGTTTCCCCGTTGGAGCAGACCATGGCAGGATAAAGGGCGAGGGCTCGTCAATGTTGTTTGGAAAGAAAGGTTCGGCATTCAATCTTTTGGCCGATGAGACGTGGACCTACTGTGACAAATGTTCCGGCGATCAAGAAGGTAGCCGTCACCAGAGGTGAGGCTGTGGTGCACAAAACTGGTACAAAACTGGTACATAGCGCTGTAAATCGACAATTTGGGGCATTCGTTGGTCATTCATGTCATTTTTTGGTCCTCTAAAATGGCAAATGAAGTTTGCAGTGCCCATCGATAAGTAATGCGAGCCGGCGTCTAACCGCCCTCGGATAGACACGCGTCAGCCACGTTTTTCGCACGACCCTTGGATCCCAACATCGACATCCAGTTTTCTCGCTTGGATTCAGAAACGGTTTCCTCACTAGAATTCTTTTCATAATTCAAGCTATCCCTCCCAACCTCTCCCTGACTATGATTTCTCTTGTCCCGCCCAACCCCGATGTCTTCCCGCTGGCCGACTTCTGGCGCTTAATGCCAGCGCCTAAAGCATCTCCCCCTCCGTTGTCCTTCGAAAATACGAACGCCTTCCCTCCGTATCGACACCGAGGTCCTATGATGCCCTTCTCGTTGACTGGCCGAATTCTTCCTCATAGAAACTGCAGCTCACGTAAGTTGCGCCAATCTTCGATATGGGATGACTGACTGACCTTCACCTACAGCACCAGCTGGGATTCCATTGGCTCACAAAGGGACATATCTTCTCTGTGATATCCTCGAGCTTTTGGCGAACGGCATTGTCGATAGCGCTTCTTGCGGGATTTTTGCTTCGCAACCTCAGACCTTCGATACCATGGCACCCCATCCACGACCTACACCTTACGCAGCAATATAGGCCCTGGGCATTACCAGCAAAAA